GGGACACCTTTCGTCATAAGCACAGGAGCGAATTAGACCTCATTCACCTTGACGCGCCTGGTAGGACCAACGAAGTGACCAAGTATCCAAAAAAGGATCCCAACCGCCTCTGTCCTAGGGATTTTAAGAAGCTTTCAGTAGGGTAGTTTTTCGAAGGCACAGCTGATGCATACAAAACAACAGCCAGGTGTTTTCTAGTATCCGGCCCATTTCTACTTAGCCACGAGCGTGTTCAAGACAAATGACCATGGCCGCCAAAATCCATGCTGAATGCAAAAGCTTACATTTAGGTCCTCGAAGCGAGGATGAGTAGTCTGCTTTAGAATTCACTCCATCAACTTGCACAGTGCGGCCGTTGTACAAATAGGTCCGTATTGGTCGGGTTTTAGTGAACACCTTTTGGTATTCAGGTACAACAGTCACCAATTTCTAAGCAATGGAGAACAGTCCAGCTTCAATAAGTGACGACATATCTAACGGATAGAAATGGAAATGTTGTCAATCACAGATTTGAGGAACAGCGGCTTCTGACCGTTAGGACTGGGCAAAGAGCTTGGATCTACCTCACGAGGGTTTCCGCACTGACATCTACACGCATTTTGATGTGCTCTTAATAAGCTGGGTCGAATTGCGCAGGGTCAAGTGGTAGCAGCGTCCATATCATGTAGACGGTTGAAACTGCAAGGCCCATAAACTGGCATTCTCTGCACCCTCGTGAAGTAAACTAACCTGCGCTGAGGAATGTAGTGCACGATTGCCACCTTCAAATTTAGTGTTTCTTTTAAGATAAAAGAATAGAGGCTAATGTTTTTCATAAATTGCACAGCCTAGGCTGGCTCAGACTGCTGCGGTTTCCGGCCTTAACCTAGATGCAGGCAGTCCTGGTTAGTTGTATTTTGCATTAGCAAACGCGGAGTGCGTTAGGTTAAACTTGTCTCATAATATGCTTCTTACGGTAATTAGGCACCTATAATCTTGGACTATCCGTGCAGGAACCCCATTGAATGTCAAGGTCTTGCAGAGAGGAGTGACGTACATAACGAGCAAAATCGTCTTGGAGTAATGATGGTTACCTTACTGTTCCAGGGCCTAGAGTTGACAGCCTCCTAGTCTATGCGGCTTGCGGAGGTTTGCAGTGGTGTTGATCGGCGCGCCAGAAATTTCGGCGAAAACTTCCTCGGTTATGAGAAGTAAGGCGTTGGGTCTAGAGGAAGAAAACGGCACCATGAGCTCTTTCACCAGTTGCGTAGATAACTGCTAGGCCGGAGCTATCTGATTGTCCCAGCAAAACCTAAGATCAGGAAGTTGAGGCCACTGTGCCGGAAATATAAGGACAGGCATTATAACAGGTTGGAATAGATTGCATTCAAGAACGGTTTCAAAAATGCCCACAGCAAAAGAGTCTTAAGTAGGAGCACCAGGAAGTATGTCTCAGTCAGTAGCTGAGGTAATTTAGTCCCCCCAGTAAACAGTCCTTGTCCCCACCATGCAATTTATTCGCAACCAGCAGGTAAACTCGGTCTACAGCACAGAGCGTTGGAGACCCGCATCTACCGTAAACGCGGTACCAGCGAGCTTTGAAGCCGCCATCACCCTCACTAGTAGTCTTAAGCAGATCAGCCTTGAACTCAATGTTCCAGGAGAGAAGCACGCAGCCATCGTATCTCTCTACTTGGCGATCTACCGGCCGAGGGGATATCTGAAAATTTGCACCCCGAGTCCAGGAAATCCAGGGACTACCGGTCCCGGTGCTAGCTTTAAAGTCCGGACGATGCGCTGACGAATGCTGAATTTCTCTTAGTGCTTTTGAGACCGCGCACCTTAGCACAATAATGGCGCAGAATATGCAGCAAACCTAACGCCGGAACAGGACATGAAGTAGCCTCCAGCAAATAACCGGGATTTCCCGAACTACAAGAAAATCCATAATAAATAAGTCTGTCTCAATCTTATCTCAAGCAAGCCGTTTATCAAACTTTAAGACTAGAATTTCTTTCGAAAAAGCGACGGGTTTTGGCGTGATTTTGAAATGCAAACTTAAGAGGGCGAATATTTTATGGATTCATCTGTTTCCCGCCAAGGATTAAAACAGCATAAGCGTAGCTTCCTTGCTCAGTCGTGTCAGCATAAAAGGGCTCTTCCTTTTGAGCAACTTGAGTATATAGCATCCTTTCACATGGTGTGGCTTTGGTCGACCCAGGTGCCTTTTTGTGGATATGGCGACGGTAAGGAGCTGGAGTTTTGGCATTCTCAGTGGTCTGCAGCTTTTGAATAGGACTAACTGTGGACAATTTTCTAACTGACCTACGCTGCCGAGCACTAGTTTAAACTGCGATCAACAAAAGCGCAGGCTATGGTTTTAGCCGGAACCACGCATTGGTTTGCTTTCAGCCACTCATTGTTGTAAGTCCGTTGATGCGTTCTCAAGCCCTACGGTTGCAGACGTATTAGGCTTAATGTCATCGCAATGGTCCACAAAATTAGACGCCTTCGAACCTGTGGCAGACGGCGCTCGGCTTTTCTTATTCTCTTGAGAAACCGCACAGGCACGTAATGTAAAGCATGGGGTTGATGTCGAGACAGCAGCAGTGTGCGCCTCTGTTTGAGCCAGAGGCGGGCGGTGAGAGGCTCCTCCGCTGCTCTACGCTAGTGCACGTCACTCACCTACGCATTGCTGAGGTCACCTCGATGGGTGACGAAACATTTGCAACAAACTTGTTAAGCGCATCGAAGAGTTCACCCGCCATCTGAACAACCGGTGCTACCAGTCATAAATACTATATCCGATGTGGTATTGTTAAACTTGTAACCGTGTTGTCCAATTGCCAATCATTCGCTTTGGTATTGCTATGATCATGCCTATTAAATAAATAAATAAATAGTTTATTCTCGACTATGCAAGGCACGCCCATGGAGGCATGATCAGATGTGTCTCCTTATGTCAAGGATCTACTAGTTAATTATAAATAAATAAATATTCATTCTCGATGTTGTACGAGGCATACCAACGAGGCATGGTCAAATATGTACAGTCAAGTCTCTGACGAGCAAACGTGATCAACTTCAGTCACGACAATGGGAATGAGTGGCTGCGTGAGCTGCAAGAAGTGTTATAAGGCTATGCTAACTATTCGACCTCATAGTTGATTTAGTTTTGAAACAGGTTGCTAATGCAAACGCAAAATGGTTACTAAGCACTTTATGTGATACCGGAATTGGTTCCACCTAAACGTCGTTCTGGCCTGAAGCAGATCACTTGCGCTGTTAAGCGCAGTCATCTGCTCGCCGCTTTTCATCCTTAGACGTATGTCGCGTTCTCTACCGACCGTAATGGATTTCAATCTTAGCCAGTTGGGCGGTGTTCAGTACAAGGGTATCAGAGTCGCTAAATTTTGGTCCACCCAGTTGTATAAGTGTCGATCAATGCCAGAGAAAGTAGCTGTGGGAAACTTAGAATGAGGCGCAACGGAAAAGAGCAAGCTAACGAGAAAAGTAATGAAAATGCACATGCAGAACGGAATAAAAGGCATCAAAAGTGGAGTTCAATGGCTATGCACACTATGACTTTGGTGCTATATATGTGGCCTAAGCGTGCTATTCATGTGCATAAAGGACAGAAGAAGTAGAGATTCGAGGTGGGGTTTGGGGCCTGTTTACAGCTGTTTACAGCTATTGCCTTGCGTAGCGCGAGGTGGTTAATCGTAACAGCGTTGCGAGTTGATGGTAAAAAAGTCAAGTTAAGCGTCGTGCGGCCAGTTGCAAGCAGGACCGTGGATACGGGTAATTGGAGAGTGAACATCAGTAGCTACACAGCTAGTGCCCTGGGTGGACGGGATGGAAAGTCACTAGCAAGCGGAGCGCAAAGTTATGGAAAAGACTAGAGGCCGTGGAGACGGGTGAGTGCCGTTCAGTTAGAGGAAGCCAGTAGCAGGCTGAACGGCCATTCCTTAGCTTAGGATCCTAAGCTGGGTAATCTAATAAATGGAAAGTGAATGTTAGATGTTGGAAAGCAATTGCGCCGCGTCACGCGTTGTGCGTAAGTCGTCATAATGGACAGAAATGCGAGATAATGTTGTTTGAGAAGTGCGTGGACAGTAAGTAAGCTAGACGCCCCATTACTGCTGAGGCTATACTGCAGAAGGGTGCGTTTACGTAATTATATACATGGCGACAGGGCTGCGATGCGCGGTTATTAAATCTCTCAAGGTTGTGACTTGATTCTAGAAGATGTGAGTAAAGTAATGTAAAGCCCGTAGCATGCTGAACGCAAATTTATGGAAAGGTCTTAGGTTAGGCGACGGAAAAAGCAACAAGCTCAGTAGTCATAAACGGTGAAGCTAAGAATCCAATGAGCAAGGAGGTAGGGAGGGAAAGACAGAAGCTACAAGGCCACAGCGCAACAACGCATGTTGTACGTGTAGTGCTGCTAAACCCGAGGAAGTTAGCTAACACCAACCTGGGGCTGATAGCCGATAAAGGAGCTAGGATCTTCATTACAACGGTGTGACAAAACCAGGCAGTGCTGAAGGTAAGCGCAGGCATAAATCTAACTAAATGAAGGAGTATAGTATTCCACTGGACATAGCACAAAGAACAATATTAGTAATAACTTGTGCCAACTAGGTATTGCTTTTGGTAAAGGCGTCCGTTTGCTCTCTTTCTGTGACAATGGAATTACTTATTCTCAAGCCCATGACAAGTCTGTTACGGTTATAAATGCAGCCACCACGGGTGCACAAAAGCACCTGCTGGACTGGACTTGGTAGAGACCAGTATCGTTCATTTATTCCTACATGACGCCAATTCAATGCAATTGGAACCTTTCTATATCCCTGAGTAAAGTTTAAAGTCAGCTTTAGACCTGAGGGTAATTTGCCCTCCGCAGGATTAGGACAGTCCTTGCAAGAAAACTCTGCGCAACTAAAGTTGATGCGATATCCTCTCTGAATATAAATTTCCTTAAGTAATAATACAGTGTGAAAATTGCTCAGTCCCCGTCTATGTTCTCTGTGACGCCTTTTTATGGTAGGTTGTTACTCGTATAGACTGCTCGCTTTTGTCAATTTTCTCCTGTCTTCATCTATTCTGCATCGAGTCATGGTAGGTAGCATACCTCCTTGACCTAGGAGCCCCGCATTATCTCTCCAACGCTTACTCTCTTGAAATGTTTGCGTCACACCTTCGCTGGTTTGTTGACTTCGTCTGTCCCTGTAAGTATCCAATAATAACTAGAAGGCTTAATGCGAATTCAGTTGCTGTCCATTGTTTCTCTCTTCTGGCTCCATTATCCCTCCTTCCTCTTATCTTCATCACGTTTTCCACAGTGATTCCTTGTAGGCTCCATACATGTTTGCGCATATCCAGAGCTACCAGGAGGCATCCCTTGCCTCTCCATCCCTTAATCTCTTAGATTGTCTGTATCCCTTACTTTCACTGGCTTGCTGGAGTATTCTGTGACACTGTAGGAATCCGCTAGTGACCAAAGTGCTATGGAATGGTAACATCTGGCCACCGAAGGTTTTTCGTAGCGCAATGATCGGTCGATCCTCTCAACCTCAGCATCTCTATTTAACAACAAGTTGTAGTCGTATGTTCCAATCATCTCTGCGCATATCCAGAGCTCGCTATGAGCCACTCTCTATTATCTCCAACCTTCATCCATTGGGACTGTCTGCGTCACATATATTTGCTGTTCGTTGACCTATTCTGGGACACTTTAGATATCCACTAGATGGCTTCACCCCAATGCCATTGCTAGCCGTCGACATTCTCTCTCCCTTAGTACCATTGTCAGTTCTTCGTATTACCTCTGGCACCTCTGTTTAGCAGCAGCCATTCTTCGTAGGCTCCAACCATCTCTGCGCATATCCGGAGCTTGCTAAGGGCCACGCTTTTACTCCTCTCTGAGACCGCGTGCATCACATACATTTGCTGTCTGTTGACTTATTCTTGGACACTTTAGGTATCCACTAGCAAATTGAAGGCTTCAACCCAATGGCATTGCTAGCTGTCGATGCTCTCTCTCCCTTAGTACCATTATCAGTTCTTCGCATTACCTACGTCACCACTTTTCAGCTGCAGCGAGTCATTGTAGATAGCATTGATCTCGGCGCCAGGAGTCACACCTTATCTCTCCTACACTTACTCTTTTGAATTGTTTGCATCACACCTTCGCTGGTTTGTTGACTTCTTCTGTCACTGTAGGTATCCACTGGTAATTAGTAGGCTTAATCCGAATGCCTTTGCTGGCCACTGATACTCTCTATTCTAGCGCCCCTATCTGTAGCTCTTCTTATCTTCCTCACTACTGCAGCAATTCGCCGTATGCTCCATGTCCCTTCTACGCAGATCCTGAGCTTGCTAGGATACACTCCTTGTCTCTCCACCATACATTCTCCGGGAATGTCCGTATCACTTACCTCCGCTGGCGTGCTGACGCATTCAGTGACCCTATTAGCATACACTAGTAACCAAGCGTCCAATTGGAATGGCTACATCTGGCCACTGATAGAATTTCCTGGCGCCACCATCTGTCGGTCGTCTTAAATTGGGCACCTCTGTTTAGAACTAGTTAATGATCATAGTCTCCATGCATATGCGATTATCCAGTGCCAGCTGGGTGGTTCGGGTTTAACCCGTTCCAGCTAATAGTTCGGCGGCAGTGTTCCAGGACGTGGTGGGTATTCGTCTGGCAAGCGTTCTCCCTATAAAATGCCACAAAGGTCTGCTTAACAACACTGTAACGTGGCGGTCGCGGCTTGCCACAAAGTAAAGTCACTGCCCAGTACATACCTGGATAATCCTTTCCAACCCACGGACACCAAACTTCTACTCCCACATTGCTGACCACAGCAAACATTCAAGAATGGAGCAGCACCGTTACAAGCGCAAATTACACAGCTACATAAGCGCACACACAATTACATACTTACATTCCCCCTGCACAAACAAGCACTGTTATGGCAAATATATCGGATTTTTGCAAGTTCTTGAACATGCATTGTTTTGTCAAAATGATCATGCCTGTAAAGCTGTGCCTTGCCTTGTCGAGAATTAAAGTTTTATTTATTTATTTATATCTCAATAACCTTGATTCCTTTAGAATATCTGCATTCAATCTTTTCGCTGCCCTACCTTTAATTGACCTTTAGATCTCTCTCGCGGCAACCTATTTATCTTCACACATTCTTCGCTCCCTATCGTATTACGCTAGCTACTTGCTGTTCAAGCAGCTTGCAATCACCACCAATATTCTAACTTTTTTGCTTTCTCCCCAAGCAATTGTTGGCTCATACTAAACGGATACTTCGCGGATTACTTGCTGGAACAACGCACTTGTCTCTACGCAAGCATTAGCAATCCGCCCATAAGGCTAATGATTCTATAGGGTATCCAAAAGGCACTTTCAGCATAATTATTGTTGCACAGTGCACGTGCCTTTGTCTCAAGTCCAAATGTTATAACATAAGACTTTAACAATGTTTAACTCCATGCCTGTTCTTGAGCTCTACTCTCGGTTGTTCCTCACTTTCCCTTTTCTATGAGGTCCGGGACTTCTTGGAGAGCTGGGATTGGACTGAAGAACAGTTTTCGCCCAAGACGGAAGTAACAAAACCGACAAGGACTTATATGGAGCATGGTTGAACACCAAAAGGACCCAACTACATTCACCACCACCCTTGTCCATTATGGAGAGCTGGACACATCTTCATACTCCTATATAGTATACATCTGAAAAATCCATATAGCGGAATAGTTGAACTTTGGCTCACCTGGACACACAACAAGACGACAAGACGACGCTAGCTAGACGCGGTAAATTCGAATAAGTCGAAAATTTTTGGTTGGCTATTCAGTGTTGCTATATCGCTTCCATTAACCCTATCATACCGTTTGTGATATTTAATTATATCACACCGTCATCTTATAACCGTACATCGGGTTTTCTTTGGACTTCTTGTCCAAGTCATCTTTTGTAGTGTTGTGGTATAGTGCTCCATTTTTCTGGATCATGGTGCCTAAACGTCTCGCAGCTATGAGGCGTAACAGACAAAGAGTGAAACCGGCTACAATCCCCACTGTTAAAGACAACTCGGCTTTAGCGGACGTGGTCGGTGTCCAACCCATGGACCAAATTGACACCATCGTGGTGGCCAATAGTTCCAGCTCAGGGATTGGTAATATAGAGCTTGTAAATCATACATCAATACCTGACATAGTCGCTATCATTCCTTCTCAGGAATGTAAGGTCATGCTTAATGACCCTCTTACTGAAGCGATGCTAAAAATACACGCACTTGAAAATCAAGTGAATTCGCTAAAAAGCGACATACTGAACATCAATGAGACGTTGATGAAGGTGATGCCCCTAGTACACCTATCGGGCATACAAAAGCCGCAAAACTCATCAGATCTAAACCAAGCTGGTATGCTTCTGAACGTAATTGCTCAAGAGGCCAAAGAGCGTTTGCGCCGCGCCAGTAATGCCATACTATTTAATGTCCCTGACCGGTTTCCACTTGAAAATTTGCTACGTAAGCTTCTAACCGTATGCAAATTGCCGCTAGATTGCTGCACAGCTAAACGATTAAGAAAGATTCCCGGCCGTACTTGTCCTATCATGTTTAGATTTGTAGGTCCTGAGTTTGCCACACGCTTCATGGCCTCCAGCTTTCTCATCAAACAACAGGTTAATTTCGGGGCTCTACAGATCAGAGAAGATATGACCCCCTACAAAGATCGATGGCACGTACCTCTACATCAACATCCAACATAAAGACCAGACCCAAAACTAAAGATGCATCGTTTGTCACATGCTTTACACCACTGTGTACTGTTGATTTAGATGCATCACAACAACGACAGGATGTCTCATCTAAAGTGACTACACCCAAATCGGGATCGGAACGAGATACTGCAACTATTGCAGAAAGCGAAACTTTCAGAGCGCTATCGAACTGTGACTCTGATATGTGCGATACTGACACTGAACCAGCAATTCTGTCTATCGCTTCGCCCATTACTCCCATCATCAGGAGTGAACGCAATAATGCAGAAGGATCTTGCGGAAATCCGCCTATACCCTTGAATGCACGCCAAAGGTGTCTGCTGCCCACACCTACAACGAACCGAGCAAAGATCCGCAGGACCCACGTAACCCAATTTCACAAAAATATTAACAAGAAGGAACCTGAGCACCGGATGGTACACGCCAACGCTTGGACTCAAGCGAGGCAGTCAGTAACCGAAAAACCATCTTCCCCAAGATATCAGTCGTCGATGGGGTCTGCGAACATGGCTAGGCTACAACAGCCACGAGTAAACCGTTACCTACTTGAAGCTCCCAAGTTAGGAGCCCGCGCCCCGACTTACCAACAATGGTCCAACGCACCAGGCTCGATACCATCTATTCCTGGCCATGGTTCTTACGGTACTCCCCATCGTACAAGAAGTACCAAATCTGCAGGCGCCACTATAAACAACCAATTCCCAAAATCTGGACAGCCGCAGTTTGTGAATCTACATGACGTAACCGCACGCAACACGGCCCCCTATACCACCGTCCCTTTTTTATGGGACACTACGGGGTATGGTCCACCGCATCCAACTCACCAAGAGCTAGCACCTGCCCTACTTTATCTCCAAAATCTTCTATGTTCATTACAGCCCCCTCCAAACCACTGGTTTCAGCCATTCGGGTAGATCCAGCAATCCCAAAGTTTCCTCTTGGCATTTCGATGGCAAATATTCAGCAGTATCAAACTTTGCCATCCCCTGATCTCACATATGCGCAGCGTTCACCTAATAAACGCAAATCTATCTTCCCCAACTCCTCGCTGCCCCCTCCTCTCCCACGAAAATGGAAATTGCCCACGTTAGCCCGCAGTCAACGCTCTCACATAGCGATCCGCTTTCGCCCTCAAAGTACATTGATGATCCTGTCTTTCCCCCATTGCGATGTTCCATCCAGCCACTCTCGGTCCATCCTAGGGACCACATTAGCCCCTCCATCTCCTGTCTTATTACCACCAACCCAACCATGCAATGGAACTGACAATAATCTACTGCATGACCTACATGCCGACGAAAATAGTAATGCTCGTACTACAACAACCTCATTACGTGGCAGTATAAAAGTTTCTACGCAAATGAATGAGCCGTTAGACCCCTTACCCTACCGAAGCTTTATTTCGCAGTCGTCTAACAACTCCCTAGCGGACAACCTGTGGGCTCACAATAACCTATATGGCCAGAAACCTCAGTGCAGCTCCTCAGATCGCTGTGAGGTACTAACTGCCACAGGTGTATTACCTGCACGTGAAACATCTGCTTTACTCTATACTGACTCCTCCGTTATGACACGCAGGGATACTACACTGGACCCCGACCTCACTCTCTCTAAGGACGTACGCAGTCTAACCTGCAGTATGCTCCTTATCAATGCAAGATCCATGAACCACAAAATGCACTATATCGGTCCATTTGTTCTTCTCTCCTCTCCGCAAATCGTTCTGATCACAGAAACATGGCAATCCTCAAGCACCCCCGACAACAATTTAAATATCCCCGGGTACACCACGTTCTGCAATGGACGCAACAACCAACGCGGTGGAGGATGCCTTATTTACTTAAGGGACGACTTTGGTGCCTCTGCATTTGAGTTGTTACCAATTGGAGACCCAGAGGATTCAATCTGGATCCAGACCAATGGGGGTACACTTGACCTCCTTATTGGTTGCGTATACAATCCCCCACATGCCTCTAATACCAAGATTAATGAACTAGTAAACCTCTTCAATGACGTCTCCACAATGTCCCCACGCTACAAGATAGTGGGTGGTGACTTTAATATGCCACATGTCTCTTGGAATGGCCAGAGTGCACCTCTCAAATACAGAGGCTTTGTTGACACCATCTATACGAACAATTGGATTCAACACGTCCATGTTCCGACGAGGCTGCGTAATACTCTTGACTTAATTTTTACGCTTGGCATCTTGGATGCTGTTACTAGCATTAAAGACAACATCCCAGGAAGCGACCATAAGGTAGTTCATCTATCATTTACGCTCTCTGTCTCATCTTATCGCTCAACTAGTCTAACTGGTGAATCGCGAATGTTTAAAAGCATTAACTGGGATAGCTTTTCTCTGCTTGTCCGATCAGCTAACTGGGATAACTTTTTCTTGTCTACTGATGTGGACACAGCCACTCATGAACTCTACAACAACATCACCAATTGTCTAGACGTGGTCGCTCCGCTAATGCACAGACGCAGGTCAAAACCGATAAAGCGTTCATGCCATCTAAACAAGGTGCTGATGAAGCTCCGGAAAATGCGTCACCAATACTCTAAGACGCATGATTTCCATCTACTTGTTCGCATGGACAGAGTCATAGACAACTGGCAGCACTCCCAGAGAATGCTTAAGCTAGCTGAAGATCGTGCCGCCAATAACAGCAACAACAAATCCAAGTCCCTCATTCAGCTATAGAAATATAGAAACAGTCGCACTGCAGCATCCATCACCTTCCCAAGACTCTCTGATGAGTCCGTAATCAACGATCCTAAGGAAATACCTGAGATTCTCAATCGCCACTTCTGCGATTGCATCACTGACATCAACCCGATCTTCACCACTGCTGATCCCCAAACTTACCCCACGACACGCCAAGAAATTATTACCCTTCATCTTTACACGTTGTTTACCTATTGTTGCTCCCGCATTCAGCGGTCCTACAACCATTGTTGTCCGGAGTGGCACATAAGAGGCCGCGCGCATGCCGGTCGGCTGGCAGCAGAATCGGTGAAGGGGGGGGGGGGGGGAAAAACGGGGGGGGGGGGGGGGGGGGGGGGGGGGGGTGGGGGGGGGGGGGGGGGGGGGGGGGGGGGGGGGGGGGGGGGGGGGGGGGGGGGGGGGGGGGGGGGGGGGGGGGGGGGGGGGGGGGGTTGGGGGGGGGGGGGGGGGGGGGGGGGGGGGGGGGGGGGGGGGGGGGGGGGGGGGGGGGGGGGGGGGGGGGGGGGGGGGGGGGGGGGGGGGGGGGGGGGGGGGGGGGGGGGGGGGGGGGGGGGGTGGGGGGGGGGGGGGGGGGGGGGGGGGGGGGGGGGGGGGGGGGGGGGGGGTGGGGGGGGGGGGGGTGGGGGGGGGGGGGGGGGGGGGGGGGGGGGGGGGGGGGGGGGGGGGGGGGGGGGGGGGGGGGGGGGGGGGGGGGGGGGGGGGGGGGGGGGGGGGGGGGGGGGGGGGGGGGGGGGGGGGGGGGGGGGGGGGGGGGGGGGGGGGGGGGTGGGGGGGGGGGGGGGGGGGGGGGGGGGGGGGGGGGGGTGGGGGGGGGGGGGGGGGGGGGGTGGGGGGGGGGGGGGGGGGGGGGGGGGGGGGGGGGGGGGGGGGGGGGGGGGGGGGGGGGGGGGGGGGGGGGGGGGGGGGGGGGGGGGGGGGGGGGGGGGGGGGGGGGGGGGGTGGGGGGGGGGGGGGGGGGGGGGGGGGGGGGGGGGGGGGGGGGGGGGGGGGGGGGGGGGGGGGGGGGGGGGGGGGGGGGGGGGGGGGGGGGGGGGGGGGGGGGGGGGGGGGGGGGGGGGGGGGGGGGGGGGGGGGGGGGGGGGGGGGGGGGGGGGGGGGGGGGGGGGGGGGGGGGGGGGGGGGGGGGGGGGGGTGTGCGGGGGCGTGGGGAGGGGCGGGGGGGGGGGGGGGGGGGGTGGGGGGAGTTCTTGGAGGGGGGGGGGGGTGGTGAGTGGGGGGGGGGGTGTGAGGGGGGGAGGGGTGGGTGGGGATGGGGGGAGGGTGGGAGGGGGGGGGGGTGGGGGGTGGGTGGTGGGGGGTGAGGGGGGGTGGGAGGAGGGCGAAGGGGGGTGGGGGGTGGGGGGGGGGGGGGGGGGGGGTGGGCGTGGGGGCGTGGAGGGGCGGGGGTGGGGGAGGGGGGGGCGGGCAGGGGGGGGGGGTGGGGAGGGGGGGGGGGGTGCGGGTGGGGGGGGGGTGGTGGGGGGGGGGAGGGGGAGGGGGGGGGAGAGTGGGAGGGGGGGGGTGGGGGGGGGGGTTGGGGGGTGTGGTGGGGGAGGGGGGGGTAGGGGGGGGCGGGTGGGGGGGGTGGGGGGGAGGAGGGTGGGTGTGGGGGGGGGGAGGGAGGTGGGGGCGGGGGGGGGTGGGGGGGGGGGGGGGGGGGGGGGGGGGGGGGGGGGGGGGGGGGGGGGGGGGGGGGGGGGGGGGGGGGGGGGGGGGGGGGGGGGGGGGGGGGGGGGGGGGGGGGGGGGGGGGGGGGGGGGGGGGGGGGGGGGGGGGGGGGGGGGGGGGGGGGGGGGGGGGGGGGGGGGGGGTGGGGGGGGGGGGGGGGGGGGGGGGGGGGGGGGGGGGGGGGGGGGGGGGGGGGGGGTGGGGGGGGGGGGGGGGGGGGGGGGGGGGGGGGGGGGGGGGGGGGGGGGGGGGTGGGGGGGGGGGGGGGGGGGGGGGGGGGGGGGGGGGGGGGGGGGGGGGGGGGGGGGGGGGGGGGGGGGGGGGGGGGGGGGGGGGGGGGGGGGGGGGGGGGGGGGGGGGGGGGGGGGGGGGGGGGGGGGGGGGGGGGGGGGGGGGGGGGGGGGGGGGGGGGGGGGGGGGGGGGGGGGGGGGGGGGGGGGGGGGGGGGGGGGGGGGGGGGGGGGGGGGGGGGGGGGGGGGGGGGGGGGGGGGGGGGGGGGGGGGGGGGGGGGGGGGGGGGGGGGGGGGGGGGGGGGGGGGGGGGGGGGGGGGGGGGGGGGGGGGGGGGGGGGGGGGGGGGGGGGGGGGGGGGGGGGGGGGGGGGGGTGGGGGGGGGGGGGGGGGGGGGGGGGGGGGGGGGGGGGGGGGGGGGGGGGGGGGGGGGGGGGGGGGGGGGGGGGGGGGGGGGGGGGGGGGGGGGGGGGGGGGGGGGGGGGGGGGGTGGGGGGGGGGGGGGGGGGGGGGGGGGGGGGGGGGGGGGGGGGGGGGGGGGGGGGGGGGGGGGGGGGGGGGGGGGGGGGGGGGGGGGGGGGGGGGGGGGGGGGGGGGGGGGGGGGGGGGGGGGGGGGGGGGGGGGGGGGGGGGGGGGGGGGGGGGGGGGGGGGGGGGGGGGGGGGGGGGGGGGGGGGGGGGGGGGGGGGGGGGGGGGGGGGGGGGGGGGGGGGGGGGGGGGGGGGGGGGGGGGGGGGTGGGGGGGGGGGGGGGGGGGGGGGGGGGGGGGGGGGGGGGGGGGGGGGGGGGTGGGGGGGGGGGGGGGGGGGGGGGGGGGGGGGGGGGGGGGGGGGGGGGGGGGGGGGGGGGGGGGGGGGGGGGGGGGGGGGGGGGGGGGGGGGGGGGGGGGGGGGGGGGGGGGGGGGGGGGGGGGGGGGGGGGGGGGGGGGGGGGGGGGGGGGGGGGGGGGTGGGGGGGGGGGGGGGGGGGGGGGGGGGGGGGGGGGGGGGGGGGGGGGGGGGGGGGGGGGGGGGGGGGGGGGGGGGGGGGGGGGGGGGGGGGGGGGGGGGGGGGGGGGGGGGGGGGGGGGGGGGGGGGGGGGGGGGGGGGGGGGGGGGGGGGGGGGGGGGGGGGGGGGGGGGGGGGGGGGGGGGGGGGGGGGGGGGGGGGGGGGGGGGGGGGGGGGGGGGGGGGGGGGGGGGGGGGGGGTGGGGGGGGGGGGGGGGGGGGGGGGGGGGGGGGGGGGGGGGGGGGGGGGGGGGGGGGGGGGGGGGGGGGGGGGGGGGGGGGGGGGGGGGGGGGGGGGGGGGGGGGGGGGGGGGGGGGGGGGGGGGGGGGGGGGGGGGGGGGGGGGGGGGGGGGGGGGGGGGGGGGGGGGGGGGGGGGGGGGGGGGGGGGGGGGGGGGGGGGGGGGGGGGGGGGGGGGGGGGGGGGGGGGGGGGGGGGGGGGGGGGGGGGGGGGGGGGGGGGGGGGGGGGGGGGGGGGGGGGGGGGGGGGGGGGGGGGGGGGGGGGGGGGGGGGGGGGGGGGGGGGGGGGGGGGGGGGGGGGGGGGGGGGGGGGGGGGGGGGGGGGGGGGTGGGGGGGGGGGGGGGGGGGGGGGGGGGGGGGGGGGGGGGGGGGGGGGGGGGGGGGGGGGGGGGGGGGGGGGGGGGGGGGGGGGGGGGGGGTGGGGGGGGGGGGGGGGGGGGGGGGGGGGGGGGGGGGGGGGGGGGGGGGGGGGGGGGGGGGGGGGGGGGGGGGGGGGGGGGGGGGGGGGGGGGGGGGGGGGGGGGGGGGGGGGGGGGGGGGGGGGGGGGGGGGGGGGGGGGTGGGGGGGGGGGGGGGGGGGGGGGGGGGGGGGGGGGGGGGGGGGGGGGGGGGGGGGGGGGTGGGGGGGGGGGGGGGGGGGGGGGGGGGGGGGGGGGGGGGGGGGGGGGGGGGGGGGGGGGGGGGGGGGGGGGGGGGGGGGGGGGGGGGGGGGGGGGGGGGGGGGGGGGGGGGGGGGGGGGGGGGGGGGGGGGGGGGGGGTGGGGGGGGGGGGGGGGGGGGGGGGGGGGGGGGGGGGGGGGGGGGGGGGGGGGGGGGGGGGGGGGGGGGGGGGGGGGGGGGGGGGGGGGGGGGGGGGGGGTGGGGGGGGGGGGGGGGGGGGGGGGGGGGGGGGGGGGGTGGGGGGGGGGGGGGGGGGGGGGGGGGGGGGGGGGGGGGGGGGGGGGGGGGGGGGGGGGGGGGGGGGGGGGGGGGGGGGGGGGGGGGGGGGGGGGGGGGGGGGGGGGGGGGGGGGGGGGGGGGGGGGGGGGGGGGGGGGGGGGGGGGGGGGGGGTGGGGGGGGGGGGGGGGGGGGGGGGGGGGGGGGGGGGGGGGGGGGGGGGGGGGGGGGGGGGGGGGGGGGGGGGGGGGGGGGGGGGGGGGGGGGGGGGGGGGGGGGGGGGGGGGGGGGGGGGGGGGGGGGGGGGGGGGGGGGGGGGGGGGGGGGGGGGGGGGGGGGGGGGGGGGGGGGGGGGGGGGGGGGGGGGGGGGGGGGGGGGGGGGGGGGGAGGGGGGGGGGGGGGGGGGGGGGGGGGGGGGGGGGGGGGGGGGGGGGGGGGGGGGGGGGTGGGGGGGGGGGGTGGGGGGGGGGGGGGGGGGGGTGGGGGGGGGGGGGGGGGGGGGGGGGGGGGGGGGGGGGGGGGGGGGGGGGGGGGGGGGGGGGGGTGGGGGGGGGGGGGGGGGGGGGGGGGGGGGGGATGGGGGTGTGGGGGTGGTGAGGGTGCGGGCGGGGGGGGGTGGCGGGAGGGGGTGGAAGTGGTGGGGTGAGGGGGTGAGGGAGTGGGGGAGGTGGGATGGGAGGGGGTAGGGTTGATGGGGGGTGGGTTGGAGGCGGGTGGGGTGCTGGCGGACGGGAGAGGTGGGGAGGGTGGTGGATTGTGTGGCTGGGAGGGTGCGGGGGGGAGAGAGGGGGGAGGAGGGGGTGGGTGGAGGGTGGGGGGTGGGAGGGGGTGGGCGGTGGTGGGGTACTAGGAGGGGGAGTTAGGGTGGGAGGGGGTCATGTGGAGGAGAGGGGCGGGGAGGAGGGAA